TAATTCAATATAAGAAATCAATATAAATAGCAAAGATAATACACAAACTATAAGAAATAAATCGAAGCTGTGCTTAAAAGAAAAGAAATATTTCAAAGTTGCTTCAACTATCTTCCAAGAGCATATGCTATAAGACTAGGTTTATTACAGTATCAACACAGTGAGCATCTGGAAGAAATGCCTTTCATCTTAAGGTTCCCAAGGGAGGGCTTCAGCTACTTCAGCGTATGGTGAAAATTACTAAATGTATTTTAGAAAGAGAATTGCAATTGCAGGCACTTTATGAAGTATCAGGCCACATCATATAGCTCAGGTGTTACCTATCAATTTCTTCTCTAATCACTTCAACTTCTGAAATTAAAAGTGTGAGGCAGAATGCACGTCAACCTAGAGCACCCTTTCTAGTCAACTTAGTGATCAACGTCCCCTTTTGGATGATAAAACTTTGCAGCACACTTCAAAGCTCACTGTCATACATGAACAAAATATAACTTTTAGTATTCACTTAGAACCTAGCCTTATTTCAACACGTAGAACAGAGCTACAGGTGTGATATCACTAAGACACCGAAGTTATCGACCTTAAGCAACGAAGACCCTCCCCGCCCCCCATGAAGGGGCAGGTGTGGTTTCACTTGTACTATGGTATCACACTCTGATTTTATTTTTTAAATAGAAAACCAGGGCTTCAGGCTTAACAGGCAAGATTTCTACCCCTGAGCTACATCCTTAGATCCCCAATTTACATGTCTGAGTGTGGTTACTGGAGGCTTGAACTCAGAGCTTTGCATGTGTGAAGCAAGTATTCTGAGTAGAGTCCCTACACCTTTTACTTTTGATTTTGAGATAGAGTTTCACCAAGTTGCTAAGCTAGCCCTGGTTTCACTCTACAGTACAGGCAGGCCTGTGGTCCTCCCACCTCAGCCTCCTGAGAAGCAGAGATCGGAAGCCTTTCTTTCTCTCTCTCTCTCTCTCTCTCTCTCTCTCTCTCTCTCTCTCTCTCTCTCTCTCTCTCTCTCTCTCTTTTTAATGTGCATTGATATTTTGCCTGCATGCATGTGTATATGAGGGTGTTGGGTACCCTGGAACTGGAGTTACAGATAGTTGTGAGCTGCCATGTGGGTGCTGGGAATTGAACCTGGGTCCCTTAGAAGAGCAGTCAGTGCTCTTAACCGCTGAGCCATCTCTCCAGCCCGAGACTGAAAGTTTTATGAGTAAACTTACCGCTGTAACACACTGTTCCCACACATGTGATCACCACACTTCACAGTGAATTAAAACCTCCCAATAGTTTTACTGGATTGGATGGCTTTGTGTTCAAGTGCCTGCCCTTTGGCTTCTGACTAGTCTCACGGACTCACCAAGTCTCTGGCTAAAGTTGCATGAACCATGAAGGGTCCTGAGGCTGGGTTTCCAGTCAGGATTCCAACGTGCTAGCATTCAGTGTGTGGTGACTCCCAACCGGTTAGTTACAGGGTTGATCAGAACAGAGCAGGTGATTTTCCCTTCGAGGACTCAATCAGATGGAGCCTATTTAATCTCATCATTCTTTCTATTCCACACCCAGTTTTCAAGTTCTAGAGTTTAAAACAAAAGGAGCTCCTGGAAATCAACAGACCCCACAAACTAAATGCTCATGTGGCAACCTATAAACTAAACATATTTGTGGTATACAGGAAAAGAAAAGGGGGTGCACAGCACTGCTACTTAAATTAAGATGCCAGCTTTCATGAACCTCAAGTTTTTGGATTACTTTAATATTGACACCTGTTAAGGATTATTTTATTATCAGTGTTTCTTGCCAGATGTGATGGTGCGGGCCCGTAATCTCAGGTACTGAGGTTGAGACAGGCAGATTATGAGTTGACCAACTGAACAACTTAGTAAGACTCTATCTCAAAATAAAATTTTAAAAGGCGCTGGACGTAGTGTCACACACCTTTAATCCCATCACTTGGGAGGCAGAGGCAGGTGGATCTCTGTGAGTTCCAGGCCAGTATGGGCTACACATAGCGAGTCTCAGGATAGCCAGAGCTACATAGTGAGACCCAGTCTTGAAAAAACATTTCTTTTTTAAAAGGCAAAATTTGTTGCTCAGTGGCCAAGCATCTGGTCTGCACGTGCAAAGCCCCGGGCACACTCACCAGTACTGTGAAAGAGAAACAAAGGAGAATCAATATTTCTCTATACTGCTGAAAAAAAGATTTCAAATCCCTCTAGTAATATTTGTAGTTGTACTTTGAAAAATTAATGACAGTAATAGACTGCTTCCAGAAAACTTGATTTTGGCTTATCGTTTCCAAATGGCAGACAGCATCACTACCTGGAGTTACGGTGGGGAGAAGGGAGAGTTAGAGAAGATTCAGCGATTTTCTCATGCAGCAGCAGCGAGCGAATCTCACACTTCATTATCTCCTTGGTGCACAGAGAGCTGCCAAAGCCTTGGGAAAACGTTCGTCTTAAACAGTCACATTATTCTCAGTCAAACAGGAGTTGTTGCACAGCTAAAATATGCCCTCTTGATTGGTCCATACTCAATTGTGCAGAAATGTCAGATTTGGTACATGCCAAATGAAAATTAAGTTTAAATGTTTTCAACTCAGTGTGGTTTACGATTTCCCCTTCTCTGACTCAGATTCTCTTCCGAGCTTCTCAAAGGTCTTTTGCATTGGAGGCAACATATATGAGTGTGCAACAAACTGAGGCAGGGGTGCTTGAGATGATGTACATGCCATCTGCAGAAAGCAATTCTCTTTTCAGTCCCAATTCTGACCACCTGAGCTCCGAGAGCAACCCAACTACCCGGAATGAAATGTTCTCCTTATTTCATTAGCCTCAGAGAAAATGTCATCATGAAGATGCTTAAAATACAGCAGCGGCAGATGATATGATTAAAAACAGTAGTAACAAGTCAAATAAATCTGCTGGAATGGAATTAACTTCAAGTGAAGGACAGAACTTTATTGAAGTGATTTATTTGAATCCTCAGTATCTGCTGAAGTATCATCAAAACTCTAAGGGGAAGAAAATCGTATGTTTTGATGCTGCATGCCTGTATACTCCTTTACATCAGCTTTGGTGGGACAAATTATATTTGATCATTATTGATATTCTGCTACCCAAATCTAAGAATTTAAATCTGAACTTCGGACACACAAATGAACTAGTGCTAAATACAAACAAACCCCCTATAAAGCAATCCCTGCCCCCAACAGTCCCAAGCTCAGCTTCTTGGCTGTCGTCATGTAGGTATCACAAATGGCTTCCTTGTCACTTAGTGTAAAACAACCTCATGCATACATTTTAAAATTATGAGTCAACATAGTAATTTCATCCTTTCTCATTTGGAAAAATACAGCAAGGAAAATAAGTATCATGAGGAAAAATAAAAGGTCCATTACAAGAATCACTGCTCACACTCTTGACTGTGACAGCTGCTATCTCTCAGGAAGCCCTGTGTGAAAGAATTTTAGTAACAAATTTGATACCAAACATTGAAAGATATCCATGGAACACCACTAACCATTACAGGTGTGCCAAGAGTTTCTAAGAATTACGGGGCTGGGGATATAGCTCAGAAGGCGTGCTCACAATGCACAGCAGTGCAGAAGCTGCAGACACTGGGCATGCTGGGTCACGCCCGTCATCTCAGCGCTTGGGATCGCATCTAAGATGACTCAGGTTTAGACAAGTTAACAAAGGGCCCGAGTTGACCAGACCGCCTGGACTCTAACTCCACAGCCCACGCCATGAACCACTGCACTTCATACGCTGTGAACAGCACAGGGGCGCACAGGTGTCTGTATAGACAGTTTCCGAAAATGTTCCTGAGGACTGGACCTTTCTGAAGGAAAGACAATTTCACTCACTGCTGTGGAGCATTAACTTTGGGGCTTAGCTTGTCTCAGCTAATCTGAGGACACTCTGAGTCAGTGATTAAGTATGCCTTTACTTACTCAGTCAAGTGTGGACTTCATTCATCATCAAAATGTGCATCACTTCGAAAATAAAAGGCTCTTCTATACTCTTACAGCTTTCTATTCTCAAAGAACTAGCTTCTCTGTGACCACAGGGCATCAGCAGAGATTCAGAACAAGGTGAGAACCTGTGTCTATAAATAGCAGAGGCTTGTTTTGAGTAGCTCTCCTAAAATCGTGTAACTGTGGTCTTCAAACATGCTCGTACTTAAGTAATATGGAAAAAGAAATCTAGAACCAAGTTCTTCATGCCAGAGTGAACTACAAACATTGTTCTATGATGAAAAAGCCAAGAATGAGGCGTTGTCAGAAAGGTAATGGCCAGTTATGTTTATGCTTCAAATAAACAATGGAACATCAAATGGGTTCGGTTGATCTCAAATTCAAATACAACATAACCTAAAATGAAAATGTATCTAAAAATGTATTAATAGGAATCTGAATATTTGAGGCAAGCAAATAAACGACCTCCTTTTGGGGGCACTTAATGATTACATTATCTTTCTTTTGTCAACCTGAATAATCAAAACGTGTTAAATCCACAGACTTTTGGAGCGGTGGAACTTGAGAGACTGGAAAGAGCCCAGGTTACTCCACGTCAATACAGTGAGTGAGTGTCTGACGTCATTAATAAGTTGGCCTGAAGAATAGTGCACTATGCTAGCAGGCCTCTGGGGCCAGCCTCTCCACAGGCAGTAGGAACAGCATGCAAAGAACAGATCCTGCAAAGAGATAAGCAAGGGTCCACCTTCTCTAATGAAGTGACTGCTGCTTGCTTGGGGAGCTTAAAAGATATGGACTGGTGTCACCAAAACAAGCGCTGTTTCTAGAAACTAATATGAACAATTCCCTCACCATCTATAAAAGAAAATTTAAGTTTAATATAAATTTACAAGGTATTCTGAAGGATGCAGTAAAAACTAATTTAAAAATATTTAACATCTCAAATCTTAATTTTAATGAAACAGTTTCTATATACTGATTTCAGAAACCCATAAAAGGTTCGGAAAAATATGGATGATAGAAAAATGCAGACTGCTTCAAAATTTGTGTGCCTTCCTTGCACAGAGGCCATGGTGTTAATCTCTGCATCATTCCGATTTCAGTATATGTGCTCCTGAAGCTAGTGGATAATGGTTGATTTCCAATCTCTGCTCAACCAAAATAGTACTTGGAGTTCTAAAAGCCTAATGACTGGTGCTTACTACCTACACATGGTTGAGTGCTCAGGGCTGTAGATTCCAGGGCTTCCTGGTACTTAGTAATTCTCATCTCTTCTCCTCACCCCTTGATGTAAGGATCTCTTTGGAAGACAAGACTTTTTAAAAACACGCAGTTATAAATGAAGAGTGAGGGACTCTGAGCTGTCCCCAACCATTTGTCCTGCCACAATGAGAGTCATGGGCAAGACATTCTCATGTGATTGGCCATCAATCAACTCTCTTTTCTTTCTAAAAGTTTTGGAGTGCTAAGGCCCAAATTCAGGGCTTGTTCATGGTAGGTAAGCACTCTACCATGAAGAGCTTAGCCCTGTTTTCCTCTGGCTAGCACTTGTTTGTACCTTAGCTATTCTGAAACAAAATCCCCAGGATCTGAAGCATTGAAATGGGCTTATCAATTAATTATGTTGATGAAATTTGGAGTATTTGTTTGTTTCAGAATACAGTTAATGCCACAGTTATCTATGAAAGATAGTGTATTCCACCAATCACAGGGTGAATGGTTTGGAGAACTACTGAAATACACCCCATTTTAACACAGGAGCACAGGGGAAATGCACTGTAAAGAGTGCCCTGTGGTCTTCACTAATTATAGCACCAGTCATTCCAAATCAAGTGATGCTAATATTTAAGTTGAATTTATATTTTTATTACAACTAATTATCAAAAAATGCAAGAGTAGTTTTAAGTGAATAAAATTTTAAAATGTATACCTTATAGCTAACGAATGAACACATCTGAAGGTCAGTTTAAAAAGTACTTGTTCTGAGTGTCCTTGGAAATCTCTACACCTGTATAGTCTTCCCATGTGTTCGATTATTTTCCCAAGTTACAGTCATTGCCTCATTCAAAAGGGCAAAATAACAAAATCTAAATATGCCACCAATTTCCTCTTAAGCCATTTATTTTATTGAGCAAAGAGCAACAAGCAACTGCTTGTTTGTATTTATTAGGAAATTTAAAAGAAAAAATAAACCTATTCATTTAAACTGCCTTTCATTTCTACGCTAGATTAGGAATGAAACAACCCAAGCAATCCTAACACTTAAATGACCAATTATTAAAATCGGCTGTAGTGCAAAAGACTACGGCTAAGTTTCTCGTCCTTCTGTGTTAACTGAGAAAACTTCCTTTTGAATTATGCCGGGTTTTGCATTCTCAAGGACTGTGCAGTGTTCGAATTGTCATATTAGAGATGAAGCAGGAAATTTAAAGTGACAGGGACGAACCGTTCTGGGGGGAGGGGAGGAGGAAGGACAGGGGCATGCACTGAACCTTTTGCCTTTGAAGCATTAATATGGATTCCAGAGCAGTGATTAATTGAAAGCACATGCTGCTGAGTCAGTACCTGCCAGAAATCCTGATCAGAAGATGAGAAAAAGAAAAAACAAATTGACATTGATTATAGGAACAAAACCCCCCAAATCAAACATATATAGATCACAAAACACAACACATGAAGGAACAATTAAAACCTGCAAAAATGATCACCAAAAACCTGGAAACAGAAGAATGAAGAACATATGCAAATGTCTAGACATTATCCACTAGGCACACTAAAACAAGGATCTACAACATGACCTCCCAGCACCACACCACCCGGCTGCGGACAGTCACACTCTCCAGAGAGAACACAGGAATCATTACATTTTTAAAGGGGTGCAAAGGCTCCATGTCTTCCCTGGGTCAGTCAAGGCATTTCTGGATTGAAGGTTTCCTATTACAATGCCCCACAATTTTAGTGATACGTGTTTTTCAACTTCACGGCAAATTGCTTGCTTTGCCATTCCTACTCACACACAGACAAGCAAATCTGGATGAGTTCAGAGGCTCGGGAACTGTTCACTGGAGCAGTTCAGAATGGAGCACGTACCCTCTGTTACGTTCCACTGCATCAGGGCTGTCCTTGTGTAATGAAGACCCATCGTGTCGGCTGCCATCTCGGGGAGTAGCTCAGGTTAGTTAATTTAGCTGAGCTCCACTCCAAATATCAAGTGGTTTAAAAAAAGCTTTTTTACGTAAGTAAACTTCATTGGCTGTGAAATAAAATTTGACCTAAACTTACCATCATTTTCAAACCAAGCTCAGTATCATTACAAAAGTTCTTGGGTGAAAAACAGGGTCCACAAGTGATTTACAGGCCTGCAGTGGGGACTGACGAGGCCGAGGTCCAAAGGATTCTACAGCCGAGTGGGAGGAGGAACCCCTGTGAACACAGAGCACAGGTCTCCCTTGGGCAAACGGAGGACCTATATAAAACAACCCAGGCAAAGACGGCACAGAAGACTTTTCCAGACGCCTGAACTGAGAACAATTATGCGCAGTGGATGGTGCCGCTAAAACCCAGACAGATAACGCACACATTAGCAGGTAGCCCTTCCATAAAGGAAACACGCTCACAGCCCTGCAAAACAGCTATGAGCGTGCAAGCCGCTTCACCTACGGTCCCAATCCTCTGATGGGGTCAGAGACAAGAGGTTAACAGTGTTTTTGCCCATCAACTGTGCGGCAGAGCCCGTGTCTGAAGGATGGCATCATCATCTGAAGTCGACACTCTTCTCTGCTACACACCATGTTACACTGTGACGTACAACTCATGGGACTGCATTTCTCACCCCAGTTCAGCATGCTTTGTAACATCTACTGACCACTTCCTATCCAATGCAGGCACAGATGTCATGGAAAGAAATGCCTTAGAAAATAAAGAGTTCACAGGGCAAAGCTAGATTTATTATTTCTATTATTATTATTATTTTGGTGATACTGTGTGGAAAAATAACTGAAGTTAATTTGTAAGAAAAAAATGAAAAAGGATTTTGAAAGTGATTTTAAAAACCTTTGAGTAGGAAAGATGGGAAAATAAAACAAAATTTTAGTGAGTGTCAAAGAATTAACTTTTTTCCCCTTTTGTGTGAGGGATTGAACTCAGAGCCACACCCATGCTGAAGTACATGTTCTACCACAGAGCTGTACTGCTAGCCCAAAAGATTTCCAGAAATTTCAGACGCAGCACCTGAATTTCCTATAATAGTTTAATTACACTCTGAACTTCTGGTTCATAAAAAAGGTTATCATAACCAGTGCTTTCCAAATGGTGCTCCATCTGACACAGAGTGAATCATTACTGGGAGGAAAAAAATTCCTGGTTTGTTCATAACAAACATTCTACTCAAATGACCTGACCACAGTCAGCAGAGAGCCAGTGTCTCAAATACACACTACACTGATCACTTCAAGAGGGACAGGATCAATACAAAGACAGTACTTTCCAAAATGCCAACTGATCATACGATAGATAACATGAGGAACACAGAACAGTAAACTTGATTCTAGTTTCTAAGTCCAGCTATTAAATTTGTATAGCTCATATTTTCTTTCCTCAAATGAAATGGTTTTTTTTTTTCCATTTATTATTGGTTTCCAACTGTGCTTTATCTGGGAGGTAGAGGCAGAGCAGCTTAAACACACAGATTCAAGACCAGACTGGGCAATCCTTTGAAACTCTGCCTCAAAACCCAACACACCCAAACCTCAAACCCAAACCCACCAAACCAAAACTCATCATCACCAACAAAAGGGCAGAACACAACTTCAACAACTCCCACCCAAAAGAGAGTGAAAGAAACATGGGCCAGGGGTGGGGTGGAAAGGGGTGGGGTGGGAAGGGGTGGGGTGGGAAGGGGGTAGAGGGTGGGGGTGTTGGTGGCTGCTGTTCTTTTTTACAAACAGTAATAAGGCAAGAACATTCAACGAGAAAAAAGTCCTATTGATGAGCCAGCCTCCCTCCATCTTAGGCTTGAAAGCCATCTTACAGTAAAGACAAACTGGGCTCTCTCCTGTGTATGATGAAACCTGTTTCTCAAGGGCTGGGCTACGCCCCACCTGTAACATTAACTACAAATGGCTTGGTACCCGCCTGCTCCAGGACACGACAACCATGCCTTTGTTTCAGGTCGTCATGGCCACTTGTTGTTGTGACCAGCTTGTTATGACTACTTCAGGACTACCTCGCAACACCTTCGTCTCAAAAGGTTGCTGTGGTCACTTCTGCCTCTGTAACGCCACCTATTCTGCCCACCAAATCCTCCTTCGGGAACCCCCTACGCTGAGATATAAAAACCTTGTCTTTCTCATGTCCAAGGCTGACCTCTTGAACCCCGCTTCAGGAGGAGGCAGCCCGTGTACATGAATAGGAAAGCTTGTTTTAATTAATTGCCTGCTTTAATTAATTTTGTCACGGTGATTTGAGTTGGTCTTCCTCCTCACGTCTTTGGGATTAACACTATTTACGAATGGGCCACATCCTACAATACCTTGGGTACATGAGAAGTGGGATAATGCACTCAGGATGGCTGACTGCACCCTGCTGTGTGACTTGTCCAGTGACCTAGCTTGTCTATCCTCTTTTCTTAACCTGTAAGATATAAAATGCACCGCCTAAGCAAGGGATGGCCCAGATGAAATGAGTACTTATGTGTCAGCACTTTTAGTGCCCGGCATACAAGAAACAGGCAGAGACCCGACCACTACCTTTTCTTTTTCCTTCTTCCTTTCTTTTTCCTTTTGCCTTTTCTTTTCTTGAGACAGAGTCTCATTATGTACTCTTTGCTGGCCTGGAACTCACTATGTAGACCAGGGTGGCCAAAAGAACCACCTGCCTCTGCCTCCTGCATCCTGGGATTAAAGATATATGAGGCTACTCTTGACCCAAACACTTTTATTTAGAGATTTCATTTTCAACTAGAAAAATACACTACTGACAACCAGTCAGTGAATATGTTAATGCAGTTTTTACAAAGCACCAGGTCATCACCCTATTAGGTCTCAAAGAAACTCAGGACAAATGGCTAACTGAGGTGCCTGTTTAATGTATCAAAGGGACACTGGCCGCCAGTGTCCCCCAGGC